GCCAGAGTGCTGTTTACGACATCTGCCATTCTATGAGTCTGCTGTGTATCCTGCTTCCCTTTTTGGACCATTCTCTCTTTTTAATTCTATCAGTTAGTATTAGCAGACATTGTTCTTGTTTGTGTGATCCCTTTGAAACTCAATCCTATCATTATGATCAATTATGTACTGAAACTGATCACTTGGACCAGTGAGATGGCACTGGTACATGCCACATTGATGGGACAGAATGAGAAAAAATATTGGAAAACTATGCAACAGATAAAGGGTTGATAACAAGAATCTACAAAGAAATCAAGAAACTCCACAACATCAAAACAAACCACCCACTTAAGAGATGGGCCAAGGACCTCAATAGACATTTTTCAAAAGAGGAAATCCAAATGGCCAACAGGCACATGAAAAAATGTTCAAGATCACTAGCAATCAGGGCAATGCAAATCAAAACCTCAATGAGGTTTCACCTCACCCCGGTTAGAATGGCTCACATTCAGAAATCTACCAACAATAGATGCTGGCGAGGATGTGGGGAAAAGGGGCAATAACCCACTGTTGGTGGGAATGCAAACTGGTAAAGCTACTATGGAAGTCAGTCTGGAGAGTCCTCAGAAACCTGAATATAACCCTACCATACAACCCAGCCATCCCACTCCTTGGAATTTACCCAAAGGAAAATAAATTGGCAAACAAAAAAGCTGTCTGCACCTTAATGTTTATTGCAGCTCAATTCACAATAGCTAAGACCTGGAACCAACCCAAATGCCCATCAACAGTAGACTGGATAAAGAAATTATGGGACATGTACTCCTTAGAATACTATACAGCAGTCAAAAACAATGAAACCCAGTCATTTGCAACAAGATGGAGGAATTTGGAAAACATCATGCTAAGTGAATTAAGCCAGTCCCAAAGGGACAAATATCATATGTTCTCCCTGATCGGTGACAACTAACAGCATCAAAGGGGAAAACTGTTGAAGTGAAATGGACACTATGAGAAACAGTGACTTGATCAGCCCTTGTTCCCACTGTCAATGTACAATGTAATACTTTAATCCCTTTTAGTATTTTTTTTGTTCTAGTACTATTGGTTGAACTCTGTAATTAACACACAATTATTCTTAGGTGTTTAAATTTTAACTGAAAAGTGATCGCTGCTAAATATAAGAGTGGGAATAAGAGAGGGAGGAGATGTACAGTTTGGGACATGCTCAATTGGGCTTGCCCCAAATGGTGGAGTTAGAAATGTGCCAGGGGATTCCAATACAATCCCATCAAGGTGGCATGTACCAATGCCATCTCACTAGTCCAAGTGATCAACTTCAGTTCACAATTGTTCACACTGATAGTTCTAAGAGTCAAAGGGATCAACAAACAAGACTAGTGTCTGCTAATACTAACTGATAGAATCAAAAAGGAAGAGAATGATCCAACATGGGGAGCTGGATACACAGCAGACCCATAGAATGGCAAATGTCCTATACATATTTTTTCAAAATATGCACTCCCCATGCTTGTATTGGAAGTCTATACTATCTCTGCAAATATTATATAATCATGAAGAGATTTCAAAATAAAAGTGCTTAAAGTTTCTATGTGGCTGTGGAACACGCCTGGAAAATTTCAAGATCAGCCTGAAGTGTTTTGTGATGCCAGAAAATAAGTAGTAAACTTCCTTTTGGCTGGAACCACCATCTCCCAGTAATTCCCCAACATGAGGAAACAAGAAAGGCACTGAAACCTGTATTCCAGGCCTTTTAGAAAACATAGAATTGGCCACATACATGCAAATCTACAAGACAGGTGATATTGTAGACTATCAGGGAATAGGTATTGTTCAAAAAGAAATGTTTATGAATGTTACCAGGGCAAACTGGAAGAGTCCACAATGTTACCCTGCATGGCATTGGAATTGCTGCAAACAAGTGAAAAGCAAGATTTATCCCAAGAGACTTAATGTGTATCCAGCATATTAAGCACTCTAAGAGCCAAGATAGGCTCTTGATACCATGATCAGGTGCCGGCACCGTGGCTCACTAGGCTAATCCTCCGCCTTGTGGCGCCGGCACACTGGGTTCTAGTCCCGGTCGGGGAGCCGGATTCTGTCCCGGTTGCCCCTCTTCCAGGCCAGCTCTCTGCTGTGGCCAGGGAGTGCAGTGGAGGATGGCCCAAGCACTTGGGCCCTGTACCCCATGGGAGACCAGGATAAGCACCTGGCTCCCTCTCTCTCTCTCACTGTCCACTCTGCCAAAAAAAAAAAAAAAAAAAGAAAGAAAAAGAAAAAAAAGAAAGAAAGAAAGAAAGAAAGAAAGAAAGAAAGAAAGAAAGAAAGAAAGAAAGAAAGAAACCATGATCAGAAAAAGAAGGAAGCCAAAGAGAAAGTTCCCTGGAATCAACTGAAGTGCCAGACTGCTCCAACCAGGGAAATCTGCTTTGCCAGAACCCATGGAAAAGAGGCTGACCTGCTAGAACCCATTCCCTACTAATTCATGAAACAATTAGTATAAAAAAGGGCTGATGGACTATTAAATTATTTTTTAAAATTTTAAATAAGTAGTAAAATAAATACACACACAGGAGTCAATCTAAAAAATTCTCAATGGCCTGAAACAATTTGAGTAACAAAATAAACAACAACATTATTGAATTATAAATCAAATAATAAAACACTATCTTTAAGCTGACATATTAATAAATGACTGGATTAATAACTAAACAAGATTTAAGGAACCAATCTTTCAAATTGGCTCTATCATTTTGCATTCTTATCAGCAATGCTCTGCATGCCTGCCAGTATTTGGTAGTATCAGTTTTACAGATTTCAGCTTAGTTTGATTTTTAACTCAAATTATATAACAGAATTGCTGACACTCTTAAGCTGACACTCATATGGATTGCCAGCAACACAGACATTAGCTTAACCTACTTTGCCATAATAATGCCCTCCTCCCATCTTTTTTAAGATTTATTTATTTATTTGAAAGGCAGAGTTACATAGAAAGAGGGAGACACAGAGTTAGATAGAGGGAAAGAGAGAGAAAGGGAGATCTTCCATCCTCCAGTTCACTCCAAAGCTGCCTACAATGGCAAGGGCTAGGCCAGACCAAAGCCAGAAGCCTGGAGCACCAATAAGGTTGCACATGTGGGTGCAGGGACCCAAGTACTTGGGCCATCTTCTGCTGCTTTCCCAGGCACATTAGTAGGAAGCTGGATTGGTAATTGAGCAGCTTACACTTGAACTGGCACTCATAAGGAATGCTTGCACTACAGGCCATTTTAACAGGTAATGGTAATTCATTATTGTTTAAATGTGCACTTCTCTAATAACTTGTGATGTGTAACATCCATTCTTATGCTTATTTGTCATCTGCACATCTTTGTTGAGGTGCCCATTAGGGTATTTAGTCTTCTTTTTAACCAAGTTGTTTGTTTTCTTTTTTATCTTAAACCATTATTTGTACATTTTTAAAAATAGCTCTTTAACAGATATGTCATTTGCAAATATTTCCTCCAAGTTTGTGTCTTCTTTTCTTATTCTCTTAACCATGTTTTTGGCAGAGAAAAAAGTTCATTTTTAATGAGATTCAGGTTACCAACTTTCTCCTTCATGGATGTGCCTTTGACGTTGCAACTACAAAGTCATTGCCAAGCTGTAGGCCTTTATAAATTGTTTTCCTGTATATTGTCTTTTTAGAGTTTATAGTTTTGTGTTATACATTTAAATCTGTGATCCATTTTGAGGTTTAGGTCTAGATGTGTGCTGATTTTTGTGTTTTTTTGGCATATATATCCAATTGTTCCACAATCATTTGTTGAAAAGACTATCTTTTCTGCTTTACATTTTCTTTGCTACTTTGTCAAAGATTGGTTGAGTATATTTATATGGGTCTATTTCTGTACTCTCAATTCTGAAAATATTACTTTTCAACCTATTGTATGTGGATGCAGACATCAAAGATGGCAATCATCTCAAGACACTAGAAGTGACTCAGGTTTTTCTGTCTGGGTTACCTCTTCTCAGAACCAGCTCCTTTATAGACATGATTTTTTTCCAGGCCTTTTAGCCAGAAATTGCTGTAAAAGTGGGCTTTAAAACAGCAACTCTGTTATATAATTTGAGTTAAAAATCAAACTAAGCCATTTCCAACAGCTAGTGAAACAAATAGCGAGTTATATTTTTGTGCCTCTGGTTTGACTGTATATAGTTCAGAGATGTCAGCAAGCTGTTATCTTTGCACACTATATGTTATATTAGTATATAACTGTGTGATATGACTTCTGTATCCAGGAGAGAATAAAAACTACTGTCAGTACATTTCTGTGCTAAGTATTTCTGGGCCAAAGCACTGTTTTCATATCTAAAAAGCATGTCTTTTTGTGCTAACACAGTTTGGAAGTCAAGGAAGGTGCTAGAGAAGGAGCACCCCTCCCCTCCGTTGCCATTAGCACAAGTCTCCAGGGCACCTCTCTTCGCTTGGGTTTCTATGTTTGTTTTACTCACAGCTTCCTGTCCCTGTGCTTAGGATGTTTTCATGAATAATCCAGGAAATGCTCTGCACAGCAGCCTCCTCACTACCTGAAAAAATGAGCTTTTACTTTGAACACCACACAGATACAGTGAGGTAAGTCCTTTTTCAAAAAAAAAAGAGAAACAATTGGTACAATAATTGTTTTAAAAAGTAATGTTACTGTGTCATAAGATACTCATTTTGAATGTTTTCTTAACTTTCCCACTTCCCAGAAGAGAATACCACTTCACTGTAGTATCAAAAAATTGCATGTGAACGTTTGGTAAATATTCTAAAGTGTTTTTCTCTATGTTTGTACAAACAAGTAATAAGCATAAAACCTTGAAAGATAAATTTATTAATCATTTGACACCTAAAACTTATTTTATAAGGTTGCCTTTCAAACTGTAAGTTTAACTTAATCTTTCACTATTGCATTAGGTAAAAATGAATTTGACAAGGAAAATGGCATTTTTATTCCAAGAGCTTGCTTGAATATCCCATTATTTAATATTTGGAACAACTGGGTGCTGGGACCAAATATGAATCAATGTTTTTAAGCAAAAACCCAATCTAGTCTAATATAATTCTAAAAATATGATAAATAAATTTCAGAATAGGATTTTTGAGCAACCTTGCTTTCTCAATCTTTGACAGCATTGACCTTTGATTAATCTTGAATATTTAGCTAATACTTGAAGCCACATTGAAGGTTAGACAGTGTATTTTGTTAGATAGCACCTGAAGACTTGGTTAAGTATGTCCTCAAAACAAAATTAAATATTTTAAATGTCATGACAATATTATCTTAAAGTGAGGGTCTGGCCCTGAACAAAGGAAAGGCTGTCATTTGAGCAGTCCAGGGCACAGAGGAGAGCACTTGTTATTAGCCTCATCATAAAAAGGTACCAGGTGAACAAACAGAATGATTGTTGCAGAAGACCAAATGCTAGATGAAAATGTATATTTATGATATGTACACACATTGTTGAAAGTGAAAACTATATTTAGAAGTTGTCTCCAACTTCCTGATTACTAGTAAACCATTGACAATGTTTGCATGAGTTTTCTTACTTGATGAGGTTATGCTGATAAATCATTATACCAGATTTTAATACTTGTAATGTTATAATTTGAATCTTGCATTGTTGAGTGCTTTCTACCAGATGAAATTGTTAGAAATAACCCCTCTTTTATATCTATACACAAAACAATCTCTGTGGTGCATGGATACTCTTGTTAATATTCAAATAATATGCTATATAGTAAAATCTAGATATCATCTGTTGAATTGATAGCAATATTTTCTTTCTATGGTCTATGTGTTTTTGATATAACTTAGAATTGCTTTCTATAAAACAGGATGCTATTTTCTGTAATAATTTAAACATTCCAAATGGACTATTTCATAATTTTTACAATCTGTTCTTTTGTAAAATATGAAGTCTATTAAAGAAGCCATTTATAAATTTAAATTCCCAAACTGGCAATCAGTAAAGCATAAATACATCCCACTTTTATTAATCTAAATTTTGCTAATGTTTCTACATAATACATATTGAGATATAACTGAAGTGATTGAATTCACACATTCTCAAAGGCTGTGAAAGTATTATGCAAACATTAACCACAGTTTTCTGCAGAGGTTTTACCTTGTGTTTCTTTGCCTGTAAAATGAGGGAATTTCCAAGTACTCAAACTTTAAAATGTGACTAGATTCTTTTTTTTTTTAAATAGGAAAGTGGTTATAAAACTGAAAATTTATCCAGAAAATCCAAACCTAGTTAGGTGGATTGAATTTTCCCTGAATAGCAAATTGAGTCAACTTAGAATGGTTCATTTATTCTCTGGCATGCATGCTTCCTGTGCCATGAAAGCCCCCAAATTGGTCTGGTTCCATCTGTATTTCTTTTTGTTTTAAATGACTGAGTCAAAAATGGTCATAGCTCAAGCTTTCCTTATGTACCCAGTGAAGGAGGAAAGAGGACCCATACCATGGGGCCAGCCTGGCAATCATTGATGGAAAAGCATCAGGAATGAGCAATCACCTATATTTGTTTAACGAAACCTGATCCTAATAAACAGTATAACATGGTTTATAGACCTGGGGTACTGTTTAAGGATTTAGAAGTCAGTAAACATTCTAGCTAGCATGTAGGTGATAAGAACACTTCATATATTGCTGACCATTCATCACCACTGTCTCTTGCCTGCAGTGCTTCTTTAAAACATGCATATATTTCTTTGTGATCTCTAAATAACAGAATCATTATCAACATAATAATCAGTTTAAGATTTGTACATGTAACTAGAATTATTTAATGACACATTTTGCTTGAAATTATAACTGTTCAGTGCAGTGCATTCTTCTCTCTGAGAAAGTCATTATCCTCAGAGCTTGTAGCCACCAATATGTAACTGAAAATGTATCTCCTTAATTTAGCATTTCTTGAAAATTACTGTGTGCATGAAGAAATCTATCAAACATGGATTTAGTTTCTGTTTCTAGAGGTGGATGCTGCAAGGTGTAAAATATGATTCCTAAAATGCTCAGGGGTGTATAAGAGATTATAATCTAGTTGTAAGAACCCAGTAAGTACATGGCAAAAAATGGAGTAGCAGGATATGATTAACAGCAATCTCTAAAGGAGTTCCATAAAGGCCTCAGACATTCAAAAGCAATAGCACCACTGGAGTGATGCCTGAACAAGACATGGAGAGATTGTAGAGAATGAAGGGGATCAGTTCAAATGTTATTTCCACTGTCTAGCCTTTCCTGACTTCCCAAGGCACAGCTAATGATTTCTTTATATTCCCATCAAATGTTTTACAAGCCGTGGCACTTATTATAACGTATTGCAATTGCTTAACCCCTCCTCATTTCCCAGAGGAACACATTCTTTACCTCCCTATGAGCTACAGAAGGGCAAAGCTGGATTTGTCATTTTTATGTTCCCAGAGACTTGAAGGTGCTCAATAAATGTTGACTGAATGAATTTTTGAGTGATTGAGAAAGAATACAAGCAAAGGCATGGGCAGAAATGAGCAGAGCACATTCATATTTTATTGAAAGAAATGGCAGTGCAGAAGAGATTCATGTTGAAGATAACAAAAGATCAATTTAAATAGTTAGAAGAGCCTTGCTTATCTACCTAACATTATTTTCTCAGTGCCAACCTGTGATCCTAGTTTCTCTTGATGGATTCAGGCCCACTATTGCCCAGGCTTCTGCGACAAAAAAGTAATCCTAGTCAGAACCGACACCCTCCTTCAGGATCAGACTTTAGACTTCGTTTTGTCCAATATTGAGCCATTGGATAATTTTATGCCATATTTAAAGCTGACTTTATGAAGATCAATCTGGAAAGTTCAGAATGAATGTGAAGACTAAAGTTATTGCAGAACACCTGTCCAGAAAATTATAACAGCAGAGGCTTAAAGGAAAGCATGCATTTGTTGAACTCTTTACTTAGTATAATCTTACGTGTATGAAGTTAGTTGAAAATAGATGTCAATAAAAAGCAAGAATGGGAATAGGAGAGGGAGGGGGGAAGAAGGTAGGAGTTGGAGGATGAGTAGGATAGAAAGAAACACTATGTTCCTAAAGTTGTATTTATGAAATATATGAAGTTTGCATACCTTAAATAAAAGGTTTCTGGGAAAAAAAGAAAGATGAACTATAAGGCAGGATATTGAGGAGAGGGGAAGAGCTAAATAAAGTCCACATTTCTAAGAGGGTAACTGTGCTGCCTGGAAGTTAACCAAGGGCTTAAACTCCAGTGGATTTGCCACAAGGAAAAGATGACCAGTTCATGTAAGACATACAGACTTAGAATAGATGATAAAACCTATAGTGAGACTATCTTAGAAGTATGAATGGGTACTTCTGGAAATATCAATGACACTCTAAAATCAATGTGATTGTGGTTAAGATTTCAAACATAAAAAGAGCTCTGGATCAGGAATTACAAAGCTATATGAATGTTCTAAGTCATACAGTCTCTTCTCTGTAAACTGAGAATAATGCCTCTGCTCTTTACCTCATAGGGAAAAACAAAGACCATATTGAAGATACAATGACAAAGTAGTTTCAAAAACCCTAAGGCATTTACAAATATATGCCACAATTCTCCTCTACACCTATTTCCCTGTCCTATGTACCTATGATCATTTTTCAACATTGCTCAGTCTTTGGGACTCCAGCCAGAACAGCTCTGCTGGGATAAGAAGGAATCAAGTGTCTGTGAGGGATTTAAAAGAGACTAGAACTTCTACCCAGTGAAAACCAAAATCAGTTGTGAAACAGATTATCTAGTTACTTTTGTAAGAAATATTATGATCACTAGGGACTTAAGAAGGTTTCGGTTGCATTCATAATATGTTTTTATTCCACTAAGAACCAAAACAACACACAGAACATTTCTTTGGCTCCACATCATGTAATAAATATTACTTCTTTTTTAATTTTTTTTTAAATTTTTTATTTATTTTTTGACAGGCAGAGTGGACAGTGAGAGAGAGACAGAGAGAAAGGTCTTCCTTTGCCGTTGGTTCACCCTCCAATGGCTGCTGCGGCCAGCACACTGCGGCCGGCGCACCGCGCTGATCCGATGGCAGGAGCCAGGTGCTTCTCCTGGTCTCCCATGTGGTGCAGGGCCCAAGCACTTGGGCCATCCTCCACTGCACTCCCTGGCCACAGCAGAGGGCTGGCCTGGAAGAGGGGCGACTGGGACAGAATCCGGCGCCCCGACCACGACTAGAACCCCGTGTGCCGGCGCCACAAGGTGGAGGATTAGCCTAGTGAGCCGCAGCGCCGGCCTAAATATTACTTCTTTTGCCTAATACATATATATCGTTATTTTGAGATTATGTCTAGAAATCAGTGAATAAACATAATACTGAAATCACTTGTGATCTCTATCCCATTAATCAGAAATTGCATTGTAAGTAGTAAACAAAATAGTTTTATCAACTATCCTCATCTCTCTACTGCCGTTCCCAATCCCCAGTCCTACTTATCTCTTTATGGCTTCACATCACCAATGTGAGTAGTCTCTTCTCTGTAAATTGAGGATAATACCTCTACTCTTTACCTCATAGGGAAACACAAAGATCATATTGATGATACAATGACATGTGATTAGGAGGAGCTGGTATCACCTCAGTAACCACAACGCTTTGACCAGGCACCTGAAAAATCAACTTTAGGAAGAGATTAAAGTTGGTCAAGAAGTTCACAGCGCAGAGCAGACACTGGGATCTGGTAAACCTGTAAATGAGGAAACCAAGGCTGGGAGAAATTGTATCACATGATATGTATGTAGACAGATAGAAGTCTTGTGACAACAGACTGCTATAGAGGACTTTGCTTTCATGGCCCTGTCTACTATGGGCACCAGAATCCTGATCTTCTTAGTCATATAGGAGCCATCCAACCCAATTCCACTTAATTTGCCAAAGATGACGTAAAAGGACTTTTAACCAGAGAATTGAAGAAAAATGTTTTTATTAAGATGATTAAAGCCACATTTTGTGAATAGAGATATATCAGATATACATTTATACTAAACTCTAAAAAAAAGACAGTCAATGTATTGTGCTATGAAACTCCAGGTTTTCTTGCACAAATGATAACCCCCAACTAAAGGAGCAAAGGAGTAACTGTGGTCCGCTGATGGCTGCCAAGCTGTTGCCTGTTTCTGTTGTCAGCAATGGAGATGTACAGGCTAGATTTCAAAGCTTTGTTACTGATTATTGGTCATACTGGCTTGCAGTTGGTTTGTTTGTATATGTATTTGTCACTTTTTTAAATATTTCATTCTCTTTGCTATGCATTTCATATGCAGTTCTTGGGACTTAGTGCTTTGATAAACGTTTTTTGAATGAAGGAGTAAACATACTTATGCTGTCAAATACTAATCTAATATAATACTGATAGTAGATACTGACATGTCGAAAAGCAAAAAACGCAATTTGGTAAAAAAATGCAGTGACTACTGAAATGTTTTGAAGGAACTTTATGGTTTTCAATATATTCTTCTGAACAGCATTTCATTTTATTCTTACAATAACCTTGCAACTGACATGAAAATAGATGAATTGTGTCATGGTGAGTGGCAGTATCCATGAGACCAAGAGGAATGATTGACTCTATCTGAAAGGGTCTGGGTCCTGTAGGTGTTGTCTTATAAATTGGGTTTTTATGGCAAAATGAAGTTTTTTAAAGTAGACCTCCAAGCAGGAGGGTTGACGTGTTCAAAAGCAGATAAGGTATCACTATATCCTTTACTAAGGGTTCGATGTCCAGATAGGTAGGGCTTGTTATCTACTTCTGATTTTTAAGCCTGTGTTATTTACACTAAAATATATTATCTCTCTGGTAATAGCCAAATAATCAATTGACATATGCTAAATGATGGAAACTGTAAAACAGTCACAGGTTTTCTCAGAAAAAAAAGTACTCTGGATCATTAGAGTGACATTTATAAAGAACGAAATCCAAAGAAGAGTAAATGATATGTGAAAATTAATCTAGAGGGGCTAGCTTAGTGGCATAGCAGTTAAAGCCACTGCCTGCAACGCCAACATCCCATAGGGGCAATTCTGGCTGCTCCAATTCCTATCCAGCCCCCTGTTAATGTACCTGGGAAAGAAGTGGAAGATGCCCCAAGTGCGTGGGCCCCTGCACCAACATGGCAGATCCTGAAGAAGCTCCTGGTTCCTGGCTTCAGATCAGCCCAGCTCTGGACATTGTAGTCTTTCATGGAGTGAACCAGTAGATGGATGTTCTCTCTCTCTCACTCACTCAAATAAACAAATAAATCTTTTTTAAAAGAAGAAAAGGAAAGAAAATTAATCTAGAACACAATAGGAAGTGAACACCCAACATCAGAGACAGCCAACTAAACAAAATAAAACACTGGCTAGACACCCTGAATAAAAAATAATAACAGTAGTGATCCTGACAGTCACTTTAAGTCTTTTTTTTTTTTTTTTTTTTTTGACAGGCAGAGTGGATAGTGAGAGAGAGAGACAGAGAGAAAGGTTTTCCTTTGCCGTTGGTTCACCCTCCAATGGCCACCGCGCTGATCCAAAGCCAGGAGCCAGGTACTTACCTGGTCTCCCATGGGTTGCAGGGCCCAAACACTTGGGCCATCCTCCACTGCACTCACGGGCCACAGCAGAGAGCTGGCCTGGAAAAGGGGCAACCGGGACAGAATCCAGCGCCCTGACCAGGACTAGAACCCGGTGTGCCGGCGCCGCAAGGTGAAGGATTAGCCTAGTGAGCCGCAGCACTGGCCTTAAGTCTTTCTTAAAGAATGAATTAGTCACCATGAAAGCAGACCAGAGAGGTAATTCCACTTAATGGAAAAGTCTTTTTTTCTTAAAAAAGCCACACCAGGTAAATACTATTAAAAATAAAATAATCACGTAGAAGCTATTAAAATGTTCCCACATCCTACAGTAATTTTTGTGCTATAAGAATGTGAAAATATTTTTAAAATCCTGCTTTTGAAGTTATGTGAATCTGAATAATTCATTTAATTTATGATCACAAATTACTCAAAAACTATAGCATGGGCTTGAGAATTTTTATAAATGAAGGGATTTATCCTATAAAATATTTTGATATATAATAAAATGTCTCTAAATATTAACTATTGATTAAATTTATACAGTTTACATTTTGAATCAACTAGGTTTTTTGAATATTTGTGTCCTTTAAAATTTTTATTAACATAAAGATGTACATATTTTATGAGTTCCATTCTAAGAAGATAACCATTCTTCCCTCCTTCCTTCGATACTCCTTCTTCTTTTTTTCTTTTTTGCAAAAACATAATTTCAGTCCACTCTACAATCACAGGTTTAATGTTCCAATAACCATAATATTTAATAAGTAAAACAAAAAATTGAATGACCACAGGACAACTAGTTTTTTTAGTTAAATTTTATCATGATGGATCATATGTGATGGCCGGTAAATTTTACCCTTCAAGTCTAATGCATTGTCATATACTCCTAAAAAGTCATTAACCCCTCACATTGTATCTATCTATATATTTAACATTGCCTAGTGCATAAAATGGACCTACTTAAAAGATATATGTATATGCATATATTATATAATGATTTAAAGTAATGAGACAGGTATAAGGGCAGATGCACTATTATTTTTATTATGTTTTATTTTCCTCTTTTACTTGATCCTAGAAATAGATGTCTAATCTTCTGAAAAACTATATGCAAGTATACTATTGCATCATCTTTCCCTATGGTTTACAACATTTAAAATGCAGAGCTGATTTTTTGTCATTTATGTACAACTACATAGGGGAAGTATATTATGTACAATAAGATTTATTATATTGCTGCTTCTCTACAAAATCTTTCAAGAATTAAACAACTTTGAATGTGCTCCTTCAAATGCTTGATGAAATGAGGTAAGAATGGCAAACATTTTTGTTTGCCAAAAACTGCATATTATCTTGCCTCTCAACCTTTTTGAATAGCTTTCTATTAGAAGTATAAGGAATGAGATGTTAAGAAAGAAATCTGATCTAACCAAAAATGACATTAAGTCCCATGCCTCATACATATCGAAGCAGATTTTGAGAAGGAAGAACTGTTCTCCTGGAAATACCTTTTCATAACATAAAGACATTCAAGTTTGAATAGTTTAAAATAGTGTTCTCAGTTTAATTTGAAAAGCTAATTATCTCAGAAAACATCCAGGAAATCAGTGGAGTGACAAGCATCCAAACCAAGCCACTAATCTTTTCTTCTGTTTCTGCCAGTTATTTCATTTCATTCTAACTCTGTTTGCCTGAGAAATGAATCAATAATGGAAACAATGGCATGTCTAGGTAGATCTTTCCATCAGGCTTAGATTGAAACCCTGTAAGGCGACATGGGGATAAAGAGTAAGTATTCAGCATAGATGACTGGTGGTAATTCAATGAATAGATATTCATCCATTCATCCACCTACTTCAACCTGATGGTGAGAATGTGCACCATTCTCAACTCTCAGGATACAGAGACAATAAGTGGAAACATCTCTTCCCAAAAGAAGTTCAAAATCATGAATATTTATTAATTCATTTATTTATTAAAGTATCTATTATTTATTAAATAATTTATTAATGTAAGTCAACATATTTTATTGGGGGTGGTAAATATGAAACAGAAATATGTATATAGTAGAAGTATAGGGCAGAGAAAAGAGAGATTAATAATTGCAAAAAGGAATTACTGGAAAATGTGACATTTATGCTTCGTTATTAAAGGTGAGTAGGAGTTCTCCAGACAGAGCAAGTTCATTCCAGATGGAAAGAAGAGAAGGTGCAAAGCATAGAAGTTGGAGGCTAAAACATATCTGGTGTTTATGGAGAACTTATAAATGGCTTGGGACTCCTGGAGCTGGGAATACATGAGTCTACAGCACACTTGAAATGTGTGCAGTACCATACATTAAAATTAAAATACTCTAGTTTATCTGTTGGTGTTTAGAGTCTTCTATTTACTTGGCTGTTTATTCATATTTTAATTTGACTACTGGAAAATTTTAAGCATGTAGGTTACATGTACATGCTATATTTCTATTGGCCAATGCTATCTTAGAGTATAGAAAATGAAAAATTAGTTATGAGAGATGAGGCTGCATAAATAGCTGGAACAAAGCAGTAAAAGCTTTTGGCATCATGAAACACAATCTCTTAATTTCCAGAAAATCCTATATAACAACCTGGAAGAAGTCAATGGAAGCATTGTGTAAGGGACATTGCAGGGATTGAAAATTTTGGCAAACTTTTGGGTGGAAAAGAGGAAGGATTAAGAGGAAACTCCAAAGCCAAACAGAATTCAAAGCCAATGAGAAACGAGGGGAAATCTTTCAACAAGTAGAGCAATATGGCACAAAGTTGGATAAAAGAGTAGTCTAAACACTTAAGCTGTTAAATATACATTTGTGAGTAGAGAAGAATGGATTAGATGGAGTAATAAAGCCCAGAGCACAGAACACATCATTTTGCAGTGACTTGCATCACAAGCTGTCATCAATCAATTATTACACAAATTGATGTTCCCCAAAGGATGCAGGAAACAGTGCTTAGCTGCTCTCTGCACTGTAAGTGAAGGTTACACTGGAGAACTTGGCAATGTGACCTCACTTAATAAACACTTCTCATCATTCGATATCCAGGTTGTGTTCTCTGGTAATGAGCAGGAAATTGTAGGAAGTATTGTTTTCAAAGCAGTAGATGGCACTCTCTCCTATACCTCAGCACTCAAGGTTTTAATGATGAGATGCTCTCTTTTATACAGAATCAAAAATCTAAGGACTGTGGTACTTAGGAAAATAAAGGATGTTAAATTTGAGAGTTTAATCTACCTAGAAATGTGCATGCTGAGTTCTGGAAATGTATCCTAAGGAAATGACTTGAGAGATAGAAGAGGTGGGAAAGCACGAAGTTGCACATGGCGGCAGCATTTAAAAATTTAGAAACAGTACAAATGCTCATAGATAAGAGAACAGGGACAGCTATAGAATGGAACTCAATCACCAAAACTGTAAATATTAAAAATCCTTCTGGGCTATGATGCAATAGAAATAGTCTTAGAGAAAATATTTGCATCCTACAATTTGCATTCTATAAATATATGCATATGGATATTAGACTGAAAAATCTAGAGCAAAACGATCATACCTGCTTAGAGTACTGGAATTATTAATGCCTTTAATTATTTTTCAGTCTAAGTAATATTGTAATTGCCTAAATGTGAGATTGTGACATGATAACTTCCACTCCTAGGAGACTTAACCCATAAAACATCTGAGTGATCTGTTTTTGGTAATTTCTTTAAAAAATATGTATTTACTTGAGAGAGGCATAAAAAAAAGAGTGAGAAAGT